GACATCTTTTAAAAATACTAGTTGCCTGGCTGTCTCTGCCTTCAATATCCTTGTGTCACGGACCTGAATTCCTTATCCTTTATATTGGTTTCAGGTCAGGGACTCTGAAAGCATTAGCATGACAGAAGAGGAAATTTGCATGTACAAAGGAGAGGTCAGCACTGGCAGCCCCCATTCTTTTCTCATGACAGAGCCACTTAAAAACTTGCTAAGGCATGCTATAGTGACATACAATATCATTGGTTAAGAGACCAATTTGGCATGCCTTATGCACTTCTTAAGTGACTTTGGAGTAAGCAGAACCTGCCGTAGTGCATACACTGGTCCCGACTTATCACACTGCAATCCACATTTTGACTGCGTATTGGTACCCTCAGGGCAGCACAGTGGTTTAGTAATTAGCGCTTCTGCCTTGCAGTATTGGGGGTCCCCGGTTTGAATCCCGGCCAGGTCACTATCTGCAAGTAGTTTGCATATTCTCCATGTGCCTGCGTGTGTTTCCTCCCACACTCCAAAGACATGTTGGTAGGTTAATTGGCTCCTCTCTAAGTTGGCCCTCTATGTATGCATGCGAGATAGTGACCTTAGATTGTAAGCTCCTTGAGGGTAGGGACTGATGTGAATGTGTAACTATGTAAAGCGCTGCGTAAATTGCCGGCAGTATATAAATACCTGTAATAAATAAATTCCCTAGAACTCAGAACTGGACAAGAAATAACTATTTATAAACATTCGGTTGTTGGATACTTTGGTCTTCTACTTCAAAATATATGTTGTTTTATGTTGGTTTATTTTTAGATCTTTGAGCACTGAACAATCAACATATGCACTGGATAAAGAAATGAAGCAAAATAAAACAGTCGTTTTCCTTGCCTTCAGAGCTTGCATTCTTCTATGAGAAGGGAGGACTCCATGTCCCGTAGTCCTTGGCTGTGTCACGAAGGCAGAAGATGGACACAGGTGACATTTGTTCGCCTTGCGTCCACTGGGCCATAGGGCTGTTTGGCCAACATGATCACGTTTAATAAGTAGAGCAAAGCTTACTGAGCTTAAATGTCACGTATTCCTGTAAGAGTGGCTTAGTCCTGCTGGCAGATTTATGTCCGTTGCAGGAGTGCAGTAGGCAGGAATGTGTAGGACATATCGGAGTGTTTGCTTTCTGTGTCACAAACACACATTTCATTCACATTAGATGCATCTGGCAATTGTGCTTTAAAATATTGCTCATATTTGGGTAGTATCTGCATGGTCAGTCACTATGGCGAAGACCTAGGTGACTGACACCGGGGACAGGGCAAGGGGTGGCCATAGATGGGCAGATGTCACCTGAGACTAAGTCACCTAAGAATGAACTGTTAGTGTGACCCAATTGAATCTTTGCACTCTGCTGATGTAAGAATGCTGCACATGCCACACGGTGAAAGTTTAATTCCTTTCATTTCTTCATTAATTCTTTCTTTGTTGAAAGGAAAATAAAGTACCCAACTAGGCAAGAAATATGGGAAAACGTCTATATGACCCAGCGTTATTTGTTCGTACCAGCAATCCAGCGCACAACATTTTGACTTGTGCATGTAGGCACTGGAAACAAATAGTCATTTAACTATAAACACTTATGCCTCCCAAGCATCACCTACACCAAGGCTGGACAGATCTCTGGAGCCAGGTCCCCAATGCTCCTTCAAATTTGCAGCTGACGCCTAACTTTTTAGATTCTCTAGTTATTGTCAGTGGAGCTTGGTCCTACAAAAAACATTCTGCTAGCTCCTGGATTGGAAAGACCGGCTCCTGAATTCCATATTGAGTTGTCCACCCCTGGTCTACACTTAATATAATACTGAACCTTTCCCACCCACTTACCTTAAAGTGACACTAAACCCAGGCGTTAAATCTTAAAAATGCATTCAGGTAACTTAACTATTAATAAAAATGTATCTTATTTGTGTATCACTCAGCTGTAGTTGCTCAAATCATCTCTGAATTGGTGCCGACACTGTCCTTCCTTCTGGAGGGTGGCTACTTTTGTTCTCCATGGTCCCTATGTGTGTTGTAAAGTAGTCACTGCTCCAAGCTCACTCCAGGGATGGACTACAATCTCAGGTTTAGTTTACTTATATGTATTGAGACTGTAGTCCATCACAGGAGTGAGCTTGGAGCAGTGACTACTTTAAAACACACACAGGGACCATGGGGAACAAAAGTAGCCACCTTCCAGAAGGAAGGAAAGTGTCAGCACCAATTCAGAGATGATTTGAGGATCTACAGCTGAGGGCTTGTTCACACCAATTGTGGTGCGTTCCAGAGCGGTATCTGCTGGAACCACAGCAATCGTTCACTAAACTTCTCCCTTCGTTCTGGGGCGGGAAGGGGTGTGGCTGAGGTGTCCTTGAAGGCATCAGATGCGTGGCAAAACATTGACTGTGTTCCAGTCCACTGCAAACGCAAAAAATAGAGCATGCAGCATGTTTTTGTGTTTGCAGTGGAACGGAACGCAGGCAATGTTTTGCCATGCATCCGATCGCACTGTGGGTGGGGGATATGGCTGCCTTGCCATTGACTTCAATGCACAGCCACGCCCCCCCCGCCACAGAACGAAGGGGGAAGTTTAGTGAGCCATTGCTGGAACGCACCGCAATTGGTGTGAATAGGCCCCGAATGATACACAAATAAGATAAATTTTTGTTATTATTTAAGGTACCTGAATGTATTTTAAAGATTTGACTCCTGAGTATAGTATCACTTTAAACACCTAACTTCCACTCCCTAAAACAGGCTATACAATATTAGAATTTAGTTTGAATCGTTCATCAGAATCTTGCCATCATAGAGTCTAAACTAATTTAGTTTAAAAGGCCTTTAACATTTTTATCTAGACCGCCTACTTGAGTGGAATCTCAGATACATAAAACAGGTTTCTTTTGTGTCTAGCACAGGGGTCAGCAACCTTAAACACTCAAAGAGCCATTTGGACCCGTTTCCCACAGAAAAGAAAACTCCGGGAGCCACAAAACCCTTTTGACATCTAAAATGAAGATAACATGGCATATATCGTTTTTTCCCCTCTATGCTATGTATAGCATGTATATAGGTATATGTGGGTTCAGTGACGCGTTGGACTCGGGGTTTAGTGACGCGCTACAATGTGTGACCGGTGACGTGGTCTCCGGACCGGACCTCACTGTGCCCCCCCCCTGTGCAGTACTTAGCCTGTGCAGAGAGCAGACCTGTGGGAGGGGCAAGACCAGTCACCCTGCACAAGGAGAGAGGGCAGCAGTGACCGGTCTTTTATTACAGGAAGCTCCTACATTGAGGCAAAGTTTCATTATAGATTACTGCACACACCAGGATTCAAGTAAGAATACACACACTTCTTGTATTTAGAGAAGATCTGCTCATCTTGGAGTTCAACTTAAACCCCTACATGGCCCAGACATTGCATGTGATGTTTAACGCTTTAGCATCATTTGCTTTTTTTTTTTTTTTTTTTTTTTTTT